GGGAGGGGAAATAACCTCCACAACATCCTCATCACCGGGTTCGTTGACATTGGCGAGCAACGGAACCGTCGCTGTCGATGTATCCGTTGGTGGGTGCGCCTGCGTCCGCTTCGACGCCGGCCCATACTTCGCTTTCCACACCTCCAGCGACAGCGTCTCGTAGAAGATCACCTCGACCGACGTGACCACCGTGTTGTCGGTCAGGTCGAGCACGTCCCAGCCCTTGCTCTCTGGCGACACACCCAGGTGAAGTCCCCAGCGAGCCTTCGGCGCCAGCTTCCCACCACGTTGCTGCTCGGGAACCATGAACTGCACCATGCAGCCCCACACCCACGCCAGCGTAAGGTCGGGCTTCTACCCGGTCAGCAGCTGGTACGGAGTCGTCCTCGGCGGCGTCGTCGACCGCTCCAAGCAGTTGCGCACCCAGACAGCTTGTCGTAGAGCAAGGTACCACCAGTGGTGCTGCACGCCCATGTGCAGCAACATCGTCCGCACGGACTCGACGGCCGTGCGCATCTCCTGCTCAGCCATGCCATTTTGCTGCGGAGTGTAGGGGCACGTCAGGTCGTGGACGATGCCCTTCCTGTCGACGAAGTCGGTGAACGCCTTCCCGAGGAACTCCCCTCCTCGATCGGAGCGAAGCGACAGCACCGAATTCTTTGTCTGCCGTTCCACAAGCACCAGCCACCGTTAGAACTCCCGCAGCACGTCGCTCTTCCGAGCGACCGGCATTGCCCATACAAATCGAGTATGGCGATCGTTCAGCAGCAGGAAGTACAGGCTGCCATCCTTGGCAACTACTCGAAATGGCCCGCACAAGTCAATGTGCACGACAGCCAGCGCCTCCGCTGCGTCAGAGCCCTTGGCAGGGAAGCTGTGCCGCGCCAGCTTTTCTCCGACGCACGAGACACACGGCGGGTCTGCTCCGGTCGACGGCGTGATGTCGAGCCCAACAGCAACTCCATGCTTTGCCAAGCTCTTGATCGTGTCCACGCCGACGTGCGCGAGCCTCGCATGCAACCGATCAGGGGTCGCCTTTGACACCGAGACGATCGTCCGCAGAGCCACCACCTCGGTTGACGGCGACTTTGTCGAGCAGGGGCGAAGGTCGGTGCAGAGGACTCGTCCGGTGTAGCGTGCTCGACCGAGCACCTCCCCGGTCGTAGCAACGAGCAGCATCTCGTCGCCGTCACCCTGCAGCTGCACTTCGCTCTCCTTCAGTTGGCCGGCTGACAGCAGGTTTGCCTGAACACCCGGAACGTAGAGCACGTCGGGGATGAGCACCCGCTTCCCGGCCTCCCCTTGCAGAGCGACAGTTCCACGACCCTCGACAGACTGTAATGCCCCGTTGAACCCACGCACGTGCTTCACTCCGTCGCTCGGCCCCATGTCGACGAAAACCAACTTCGTCCCCATTAGGTGGTGGGAGCACCCGCTGTCGAGTAGCACCGCCATCGGGTTGGCCTGCACAGCTGCTGCCACCACCTGGAAGTCCTCGCCAGCCTCCGGTGCTAGTGAGACCGTCGACTCCACCACGCCGACCATCGAGCACGACGCCTCCCCGTCGCCTCGGCTCTTGCCGCAGGAACTATCGACGTCCTTCGTCGAGGACGTCTTCTTCGACGTTTGCTTCTCCTTGCGCAGCTTCTCAACTCGACGAGGGCGACAATTGGCCGATCGACCGCGGCCTTCCTTGTTGTCGTCCTCGTCGCTGTCATCGCGGTCAAGGCACTCGAAGGAGAGATGGTCGGGGTCGCCGCAGATCCAGCACTCCCGCCGTCGACCACCACCTCGTCGACCCTTGTCCCGCGTTGACCTCTTCTCGTCAACGTCCTTCGTCGACCGCCCACCTCTGCTACCACCTCCGCCTGGCTTCTCGCGCTGCTCCTGCTGACTATTCGGCTTCGTCGGTGCAGCGTAACTCGCCTGCGGAAGGAACTCCGTGGGCTGCTCTGCCTCCTACATCGCCTCATCCTGGAGGATGTAGCTGGTAAGGGAGTCCTCGTCGAGGGACTCACGTGTGCCGGGCACCATCGTAAACCTCTTCATGAGGTTGTAGCTGTGCGGCAGGCCCTTGAGGACGTGGGTGATGTAGGACGCCGTCGAGTATTCGACGCCCGCCATCCTTATCTCAGCTAGGATCCGTCGAGCTCGGTTGCAGTAGTCCGTCGCCAACTCCTGCTCACCCATTCGAATGTGAGTCATCTTCTCCTCTAGCTGTCCGATGTACAGGTCGTCCCTGGCCTGGTACGTCGACATGATGAAGTGCCATGCCTGGTGACCAGCATCCAGTCACTCTCGACAGCTCCTGAGCGCTAGCTGCACCACTGGCGAGCAGCACCTCGAGATGACCATGAAGGTGAGCAGGTGAGCAGAACAAAACTCCCCGCGTAGCTCGACATCCTCCTCGGGCGGAAAGGGCACGGTGCCATCGGCGAAGCCCTTCAGCCCGGCGACCTCTAGCTGAGGTTCAATCGACTCCCTCCAGGTGATGAGGTCCCGTCGACCTTGCAGCGGTGCGACGGCGATCCGGTCCGGCGAGAACTTGAAGTAGCCATACGCCGGTGCAATCCCGCCCACCGTCACGTGTGTCGTCACCGAGAGCCCTCCACCCCTTCGTGGAGGAGAACGGCGTCGAACATCGACATCGGCACGCGAGCTCCCTGCAGCAGCCGACAACCGCTGCACTCGCGCCTGGATTCCGTCGACACCACCGTCGACCTTGATCACTCCTCTCTGCCTCGTGCCTTCGCTGCCGCTGACTCGTGCACCACCGTCGACCTCGTCGTCGACGCCACCTTCGTTGCGCGCCGGTCGAGAGGAAGTAGGACGGGAAGGGTGTTCCGTCGCCCACTGCGACCGGATGCCCAACTCGGCGATCACCAAGGGGATTGTCCCGTACTTGCCATCCACGTGGCATCTCCTCGCGTCAGCCAAACGTGCCTCCAAGGTGTCCGCTACACCCGCATCAACTACGGGGTCGACCATGGCGACTATCGCTGCTGCCGGCCTACGAACGACTTAGTAGGTGCAAAAGTCGGCTCCTATTTGAAGGTCGCGTGTTCGTTCCACGCTCACCGCACCATGCGGAGATTCACTCTACAACGGTAGTGAGCTAGACAACAGGGGTTGGCACGAACTACTAGAGGTGATCGTAGCTTTGCTTGGTTCCTTAGTGTTTGCACATTCACGGGAGAAATTGGCAAGAGTTTCTACTAGCAAAGTTGGAATTCCAGAATCAGTCCAACAAGAGATGGCAACAATGACTACATCAGGCACCTAGCAACCCTGTTGCTAGCCTGGTCGATCGCCAGCACAGCTCGGTCGACCGCCTGCCAGCGTTGCGTAGAGGAGCCGCGCCAGCACTGCAGAAAGGCGACCTGCCAACGGAGCAGGTCGACGGCGTGCCAACGCTGCAGCAGAGCGGCTGTCCAGCATTGCCTCGTAGAACACAGCAGTGTGCACGCTTGCAGGTGTGCGCAGACGATTGGCCCGACTTGCCTCGTTGGGCATTCGTCGGCTATTATCTGCGCCTGACGAGCCATATCGACTTCGGGATACCAGCCCGCAGTCGCCTGCGCCATCGCAACCTCGACGACGTTTGCGTGCCTCCGCAGAACTCGTCGAGCAGGTTACCCAGTCGACCCGGTCGACCACCAGGTGCTTCCGGTCGACCACCAGGTCCCTCTTGTCGACCACAACTCCCGTCGAGCTACCCCCTGGTCGACGGACCCCTTCCGTCGACCAGAGCCATCAGCGGTTGTCGCTGAGCTCCCCTCGTCGACCGCTGCTCACTTGTCAGGTCGACGGACTGCTCCGTCGACCTCCCGGTCGAACTGCAGGTCCTGGTCGACGTCCCACCCGTCGCCCAGACCAGTCAGTTGCAGCTGTCGAGCTCCCTAGTCAACAGCAACACCACAGCGGTCCCCTGCAGCTCGACGAAGCTTGTCGAGCAGCTCTCCCACTGTGAACGGTCGGTTGCTACTCCCGTACATCCGACCAAGTCGTCGGCGTTGCCCAAGCGAGGGCGGGGCCAACATTCCATGCATGTTAACAATTGCATCCTTTCATATTCCTTGTAATCTTAAAAAAAGCTTGTATTATCTTTGTATAATCAATCTATCTTGCCCTCACATACTAGCGCAAGGTGGTTCAACACTTGTCATCAAAACGCTTCCGCAACTAGAACACTTTTATTCAGAGTTTAGCCTTGAGAAGGTCCTAAGGGCTTTTCTCAGCCCAACATTGGCAAACAGTTATGCTATTGCGACAAACATTTGTAAATTGGACCAACTCTGCAGATTGAAATTGTGAGTGTCTACTACCGTCATGCCCCGGATATATCCCCAGGCCTATGTTACACCCATGGGCTTATAATCGTACCAGTGGGCTTATAGCTGGGTGCCGATTATAACCCCACCCTAAATTTGAATCATCTTCGTATAAGCGCACCCTATGAAATTTTACTCAAATCTGTGTTTCTCGAGTGAACTCGCCACTAACGCGTCAGATCAGAAGCAATCGTCGCTGACGTGCCTGGCGAAGCCTTCCCTGGCCCGCCTGGCGAAATTGCCACAGGTGCGCACGTGTTAGCAACATTTCAGCACATGATGGCAGGGATTTTCGCCAGGGTGGCAGATTCTCTGTGAATTTCGAAGCGAACTGTTTTGTGGTAGTCTCGATTGAAACAGCAAGGCTGAGATTTACATTTCTGTGTTTTAAAATCATAATTATCTAAGTGTCATTTATTTCACCCATGGGTTTATAAAAAAATCCACATTATAAGACCACCCACAAATTTTCCAGGTTTTTTTATACCCCCACCTGGGGGATTATCCGGGGCATGACGGTAGGTTTGGTTGCAATTTGGGGGTATGCATGCTATATGACCGTGATCCCCTTGAATATAAGCACACCCACGTAAAGAACACTAGGATAGATAATGCAGACCTATCCTATCCAAGGTCCTTTTAACACAAACATATCCACACTCACGAGCATCACCACGGCACCATGTGACTGGCATAGTCACCTGAACCGTCCCCAAAATCCTCTCCACCCATCCCAACCGCACTGTGACCACGGCGCAGTGGTGTGTGCGGCCTGCCTTGCAGTGCAACCGAGCTATTACTACCAGTACCTGTGCGAGCAGGAAACACCCGCTCCTCCACGTGGCTATTGCTCAGGTGATGAAACACACTGTTGTTGCCGCTCTTGTTGCTGCTGTGGCAATTTTTGCTGCTTGTATTGTTGCTGGCTTGTGCTCCCCTCACAGGACCAGCTGTACCCGATTGATACTGGCGCTCAAGAATCAGGCTACAAGGGGATGGAAGTTGCTGCTGCACCTCCTCCTCGACCAGTGCTGGCCACACTGCAGCAGGGTGAAATGTGAAGTCGTGCGATTCAGAGCGGTTGAGTGCGGCAGGACGACGACAAGGGGGGAGTGTGTAAATGCTGGTGGGAGGAGGAGGGTCTGCGTGCTGAAGGCTCCTGCCACCCGTGCCTGTGCTGTTCTGTCTCCTGGCTTGTCTGTTTGCACTGCTGGCAGCAGCACCACGAGCCGATCCCATTGTGGAAGCAGCACCATTTGCTGACGACCCTTCAGCAACAGCAACACGCGCTTGGGATATTCGAGACACCATCGTCTCCTCCCCAGTCAGCGTGCTCGCATCCGCAAAGCTCATGCCAGCAGCTGCAAAATCAGCACCAACTGCAGCAGCGTCGGCATCAGCACTGGCATCAGAACTGGCATCATCAGGAGCTGACTGGTTGAGGTCAAACAGGGGCACATGGTGGTTCCGACTGCCATTCACAAGCCCGTCGTATCCCCCACCACAGCTGTCTAACATGCTGCTCATGCTACTCATGCTGCCGCTCATGCTGCCACTGCTGCTGCTGATGCTGCTACCACTGTTGTTTCTCTCACGTCTGCTGTCACCACCACTGCCTCCCCCCTTGCTGGCCCCTTTTCTGCTGCTGCCACTACCACTGATGCAGCCATTGCTTCCACTTGTACGGACAAGTGCCCTTCCTTTAATCACCGGCACCACTTTCTTCTTCCCTTTCCCCTTCGCCTTCCCACCGCTCTTCTCCTCCTCCTCCCCAGCATCTCCCTTTCCCTTAGCACCTTTCGCCTTCTTGCGGATTCCATCCTGACTGCAAGCCCCCACAACTCCTGCCTGCCCTTCTGTTCCCAAAGATACCTCCACATCCTTTACCGAAATTATGTCGATGCCGTTTCCCAAAATGGCCTCTATTTCTTTCTCCAAAATCGCATAATCCAAACTCTCTACTCGTTCCACTAAAACCCCCTCCTGAGCCCCAACCCCTCTCTCACTCTCACTCACAGCAGCGACGCTACTGACACTCCTCCCACCTCTCTTCCCCGCACCTTTCCCTTCCCCTTTCACCTTCCCTTTCCCCACTCCCGCACCTTCCTTTTTCCCCATCTTCCCATGCACCGCCTTTCTCCCCCCCTCCGCTGCGCCTACAGTCCCTCCCTTCTCCTCCACTCCTGCTGCTGCTGCCTTACTCACTCGCCTTGTCTTGCCACTGCTTCCTTTGCGGGGGACACGAGCAGAGGCACCAGGAACAGCATAAGTGTCACAAGCAACAGGAGTGTCACAAACAGCAGAGGCAGAATCAGCAGAATCAAGTCTAGGAGGCTTGGTGGGTTGAGCAGGATTGGCAGCAGCTGCAGGATCAGCCGGAGATGCAGCAGCAGCGGTGCCAGCTGTTGCGCTATGTGATGCAGTTACAGCTGGTGGTGGTGGTGGTGCTGCTGCTGTTGGTGGTGCTGCTGCTGGTGCTGCTACTGCTGCTGCTGCTGCTGCTGGTGCTGGTGGTTGTTTGATGGGACGAGCATATGCACCAGGCACGGACGCAGCTGAAGAGGCAGGAGCAGAGTGAGCAGTAGAAGCCGAAGAGGCGTTGGCAGCAGCAGCAGCTGAGGGTGGCGCCAGGGACCTAGGTGCAATAGCAGCAGCGCTGACAGCAGCACTCTTGGCACTTGCACGGGCAGAAACAGGAGCAAAAACAGGACTTCTCATGTCCCCCCCACCCTTTGTGCCCTGCACACCCTTCGTGCCCTGCACACCCTTCGTGCCCTGCATACCGTCTTTTCCCCCTTGTACACCCCTCTCTGCTCTCGCTGCTTTTTCTGCTGCCTCCAGCACCGCTCTCAACCGCATCACCTCGTTGCTACGGCTGTCCAGCAGCTCTCGCGTCTGTGGTGTGAAAAGGGGAAGGGGAAGGGGAAAGGGGTAAACGGAAAGGGGAAGGGAGGAGGGAACGAAATGGAGAAAGGAACGGGAATGCGAGCAGTGTAGTGAGGGGAGTGAATCCCTGCAAGCCCTATGCTTCAGGCAGGACACTGACAGGAAAGGCTGAATCAAGACAGTAAGAAAAGCCTCTGAATGGAGACGTTACAAAATATGCAATTAAGAAAGAGAGTCACTACTCCTGCCCTGTGCTGCTGCTTACCTGCGCCAGCACTGATTGAAGGTGCTGCACCTGCTCTTTGTACTGCCACATGCAGTCAAGCCAAGGCAACACACAGAAAGGGATGCAACGCGTGGGTGGGTTGATAGGAAGGGGGTTGGAACAGGGAGGGCATTCAGCGTTGCTTGTAAGTGCTGGGTCTGCTGCTTTGTGCTGCGACGTTTCGTCAAGGCACGGAAATTGCTGCAATGCGCTGGACGGTTGAGGAGACGGGGGTTGAAGAAGAGTAGAACGTACAGCCATGACTCATGCCCCCCATGCCTCGTGCATAGGTGGCGAGGGGAGGGAGGCTCCAAGAGGAGCCAATGAGTGAGATGGACTGCTGGTGTTGAATGACAAAAAATGTCGATCATCATTCAACTCATGAAGGAGCGGAGGACTTACGACGGCAGTGGCGGCAGGGATGGATCCGAATGTCTAAGAGGCGAAGATCAGACCAGCAATCCATGTGGTTTCGAATCCCGTTCATGTAAGGCCTTGTGGGTGCGGAAACTTTAACACGGCCCTCTCACGGGGCAAGGGTGATGCTGTCGGATGCAACGGAGTGCAATGGAGTGCAATGGAGTGCAATGGAGTGCAGTGGAGTGCAATGGAGTGCAATGGAGTGCAATGGAGGGCAATGGAGTGCAATGGAGTGCAATGGAGTGCAACGGAGTGCTGCATGGTGCATCCTATTCACCATGGACCTGTTACCACCCCCCCTCCTCCTCCCTCCCTCTCCCATTCTCACCTCCTTGAGCAATCCATGGTCCCTCCTTTCGCCACTGCCGCAGTCACAAGTACTGTCCTTGCACCCTCTGCCGGGCATGCTCCTCTGCTGCTGCAGCACCTCTATAGTGGACTCCAGGGCGCGGATGGTCGTCTGGGTGGGGTGGCATGGAGATAGAAACACAGGGGAAAAGCATATGATGAGACGCCTGTGCGCTCCCCTGCTGCTGCAGCACCTCTACCATTCACTCCAGGGCGCGGATGGTCGTCTGGGGTGGCATAGAGATACAAGTACACGGGTGGAACAAAATGATGAGGCGCCTCAGAAACGCTCTGCTGCTGCAGCACCATCTACTGTAGACTCCAGGGCATTGAGAACAAATGGGGGGAAAGCCATTTGTATAGGCGATTTCCGAGGGATGTTTTAGGTGCCTGCTCACTCCTCTGCTGCTGCAGCACCTCTACCGTTGACTCCAGGGCGCGGATGGTCGTCTGGGGTGGGATTCATTCGTCACATGCGAGCACGGAGGTAAAACGGGGAGGAGAGATCACATTGGCATGCTAGCTTGCGTTTAGCATTGCGTTGCCTCACGCTTCAGTTGCGGGATCCAAGACGCTGGTATCCTGCTGAATTCTTTGAGTCGACTCAGAAGGGATTTAGGACGCTGGTATCCTGTCTGAGCATTCTCAAAAGCGATACATGGATAGTGCTGGGGAAGGTGGGTGGGAAGGTGCTTGAGAGCATTTTCAAGAGTGATACAAGGATAGCGTTGGGGTGGTTGGGTTCAGCTATGCATTCCCTTGCGCTACACTTGTGGAATGCAGGGCTTGGCGATGCAATGCTGCACTGCTTGCGGGAAAGATTCTTGCTTGAGGGCGTTTCAGCTGTTGTTTGGGGTTGAAGGAGGGGGGAAGTGTGGTTTGCGGAGGGGATAGGGAAGAGGCAAGGGGAAGGAGTCGCTGACGACAGGTATAAAGAGGTTGAACTAAGTTAAGACACGTCCAGACTGGTTAAGACTGGTGGTAACAAAATGATGAAACTGGAGGGTGTGGTTAAAGGAGGGGAGGGCATGAGACGAGTGGAGGATGCATGAGGCATATCGTTACTCAAATTGAGGGTGGCTCCAACGGGGCAAAAGTGATGCAGAAGTCTTGTAAGTGTGTGTGTGTGTGTGTGTGTGTGTGTGTGTGTGTGTGTGTGTGTGTGCGCGCGCGTGCGCGCGTGTGTGTCTCTGTGTGTATGTGTATGTATGTGTGTGCGTCTCTGTGTGTGTGTGTGCATGTGCGAGAGCTAGTGTGTGAGCTTGTGTGTGTGTGTGCATGCGTGTGTGTGCATGTGTGTGTGTGCATGTGTGTGTGTGCATGTGTGTGTGTGCATGTGTGTGTGTGCATGTGTGTGTGCATGTGTGTGTGTGCATGTGTGTGTGCATGTGTGTGTGCATGTGTGTGTGCGTGCGCGCATGCACATGCTAGTAGTGTGTGCGTTCACCGAGCCATGAACCCACCCACCTGAGACGAAGCAAGGTCCGCCTGCAGAGACTGCAGTATCTTGGACTTGTCGTTGTTACGCTGATACAGTGAGGGGGGAAGAGAGGAGATTGGGGTGGGGGGAAAAGGAGTGCGGGATGTGAGATTGGGGAGGGTGTGGAGAGTGGGGAGGTTGGGCGGCTTAAAAAAAGGGTGTTGAGACATCTCAAATCACAAGGGAGTGGGAGTGTGTGGTGGGGGGGAGATTGCGACAGATGACAGAACGGAATGCTGGCTGTGACGTATGTGGCAAGAGGAGAGTTGCCTGGGAGGGCACACTGTTTTCCCACCTCGCGCTATCATTCCCTTTCCATGCTCTCACCATGGCCCACGGTTCCTCAACATAGATTCCCATCTCCTTCTCCCTCCCATCCCATCCCCACCATACCGCCACCCTTTTCCTCCCTCCGTCTGCGTCCTCCACGCCCTTCTCCCCCCCATCAACTCACCATGGCAGCCACCAGCTTGCAGCACTCGCTGTTGGAATGCTCCAGACCAGAGCCACTCCAAACGGGAGGAAACGCCCCTCACCCCATTCCCTCCCTGTACCTCTCCCCATCCCTTCCTCCTAACAACTCACCATGGCAGCCACCAGCTTGCGGCACTCGCTGTTGGAGTGCTCCAGAGCCACTCGAAACGCCTCCCTCTCGATCGTCACCTTCACCACAGCCTCCCTCACCGCCCCCACCGCGCCCGCCGCCCTCTGCCGATCCCTCTCCACCACTCTCAAACACCTCCGTATCTCCTCCATTTCCGCCACCACCGCTCGCACAGTGTTATCCCGAGCAGACCTCAGCACACCCAGCTCCTCCCGTGCTTCTAGCAGCGCCCCATGCACATCTATCAGTTTCTCTTCTGTGCGTTCTAGCTCTCGCCGCCAGTCCCACTCCTCCCACCCATCCCTGTGCGCCCGTGCCTCTTCCATTTCGGCCTGCAGGTGCTCCCGGTATGCGGGGTCTTTCGACGGGTGTGTGCTGATAGTGCTGCTGCTGTTGCTGCTGCAGATGCACCAGCTACAGCTGCTCGTGCTGCTGCTGCTGCCGCTGCTGCTGCCGACCTCGTTACACTCACCCCCGTCTGCTTCACCCCGTGCTGTTGCCGCTGCCGCCGCCACCGCTGCTACCTTGCTCGTTGCCCTACTTGCCGCAGGCAGCTGCATTCTCGCACCACCCAGACCACCCATACAGCCAGCAGCACCAACAACACCGCCTCTCTCCAGCTGCTTCAGAATCTCCTCCCACCTTCCTCTATCCATCAGTTCGCTCACCATCCTCCACGCTCTCTGTGCCTCCTCTGATCGCACCCACGCACTCAACCTCTCCCACACACCCCCCACCTCACTCCACTGCATAGCCAGCAGTCTCAACACCCCCTCCTCTCCCTCACCAGCCTCCACCACTGCTGCTTCCCCATTCGCTCCCGCACACACCCGCTCCCTCTCCCCCTCCGTACTTCCGCTCTTCTCCTCCCCTTCTCCCTTCCCTCCGACCTTTCCTGCCCATGCCTTCCTCTCCCCATCTCCCCCTTCCTCCTCGTCGCTCCACGTATCCTCATCCTCCTCACTCCCTTCCCCTCTCCCCTCCTCGCCCTGGCCCTTCTGTCCATTCTTCCGCCACAGCTGCCGCCATTCCTCTCTCTCTCTCTCCATATCCTGTTCTATGCCCCACTCTCCGTCCCCTCCATCCCCACCGTCCCCTCCTCCATCTCCCTCCTCTCCCTCCTCACCCTCTTCTCCACACGTCTTCTTCTCCTCACTCCTCCTCTTCCTCTCCTCGTCCCTCTTCTCCTCACTCCCCCTCTCCGCCTCCCACTCCCTCTCTTTCTCCTCATAAGCCTCTCTTTCCCTCTGCCTCTCCTTTGCTCTACTCTTCTCCTTTTCCCTATCTGCCTCCCTTTGCTCTTGCTTCTCCCTCTCCTCTTCCCTCTCCCTCTCCCTTTCCTCTTCCCGCCGTCGCTCCTCTTCCCTCTCCGAATCCCACTGCAATTCCTTCTCCCTGAAAGCGCTCCTTTCCTTCTCTCTCTCCTCTTCTCGCCTCCATTCTTCTTCCCTTTCCAGCTCCCACTGCTTCTCCTTCTCCCCAAACTCAGCTTCCTGCCGTTTCCTCTCGTCCTCTCGTTCCCTCATCCTAGTCATCACTTTCTCCCACATCCTCTCTTTCTTTTCCAACACCTCCTTTTCCTTCCTCATCTCCTCTTCCCTCTGCCTTTCCTCTTCCCTCTCCGCCTCCCACTCTGCTTCACTCAATGCCATTGCTTCCACTTCCCTCTGCCTCTCTTCTTCCTTCCTCATCTCCTCTTGCCTCTCTTCCTCCCTCTGCTTCCGCCTTTCTTTCTCTTCAGCTCTTTCCTTCTCTCTTTCCTCCTCCCTCTTTCTCTCCTCCTCCCTCTCCCTCTCCCACTCACCTTCCTTCCTCTCAAATACCTGCCTCTCCCTTTCCCTCTCCTCCTCCGCAACCCTCTCTCTCTCCCTCTCTACTTCCCACTGCCTCATCTTCATCTCATATTCTCCCCTCTCCGCCTGCCTTTCCTTCTCCCTCTCCTCCATCCTTCCCACCTCCTCCCTCCACTCCTCCTCCTTCACCATCTCGGTCCGTCTAACAGCATCCACCTCCCCCTCTCTATCCCTCCCTCTCCTCGCCTCCTCTTCCTCTCCCAGCAGCACCAGCACTCTCAGCCTTTCCACTTCCCGTTCAAGTTCCGTTTCCTTCTCCTCGCGCCTCTTCTCCACCTCCTCTCTCTCCTCCTTTGCCTGTTTCTTCTCTTTGTCCCATTCCTGTCTCACCTCCTCTGCCTGTCTCTTTTCTCTCTCCCTCTCCTCTCTTTCCTCCTCTGCCTTTCTCTTCTCGCTCTCCATTTCCTCCCTCGCCTTCCTCACCTCTTCTTCCATCCTCGCAACCCCTTCCCCTGCCACACGGATTCGCTCCTTCAGTCCTGCCTCCCTCTCCTCCCTCACTCTCTCCTCCCTCACACGTGCTTCCCGTTCCTCTTCACGTTCCCTCTCCACCTCCTCCCGCAACTTCCTCTCCCTTTCCTCCCCTGCCGCCCTCTCCCTCTCCCTCTCCTCCTTTTCCACCTTCAACTCACTCTCGAGCTTCTCACCTCTCTCCCTTGCTTCCACCAGCCCAGCATTCAGCCTCTCTTCTATCTCCTTCACCTCCCTCCTCTCCTTCTCTCTCTCTTCTCTCTCCAACCTCAATTCCTCTTTCAGCCTCTCTTCCCTTTCTTCCACTCCCCTCCCCGCCTTCTCCGTTTCTTCCCGCACCTTCTTCAACTCACCCTCAAGATCACGCTCTCTCCTCCTCCACTCCTCTCTCTCCTTTGCCCGCTCTTCCCTTTCCTTTACCCTCTCCTCCATCTCCTTGGCCCTCTCCTCCCTCTCTCTCCTCACATCTTCCATCAGCATCTCCTCTCTCTCCTCCTTCCCCTTCCCTTCTCTCTCTCTCATCTCCCTTTCCATCCTCACTTCCCTCTCAAGCACACCCACCCTCTCTCTCGCCTCCCTCAACTCTCCCTCCAATTCCTCTCGCCTTTTCTCTCTCTCCCTCCTCTCCTTCTCCATCTCCCCCCTCTGCTTCTCCCTCGCCTCCTTCTCTTCCGTCAGTCTCACCTCCAGCTCCTCGCAAGCCTCCTTCCACTGTTCCAATTCTCTCCTCACTCCCTCCTCCCTCTCCTCTCCCCTCCTCTTCTCCTCTTCCCTCCCCTCCCTCTCTCCAACCAGTTCCTCCCGTATCATCTTCTCATTCTCCTCACTCTCACAACGCATCCTCTCCCTCTCCCCCCTGTCCCTCTCCACCTCCCCTTCCAACCGCATACAATCTCCTTGCACCTCTCTCAACTCCTCCTCCAGGGTCTGTATCCGCCCCTCCCACTCCATCCTTTCCTTCTCCCTCTCCTCCCTCTCCGCCTCCCCTTCCACCTCCCTCTCTTCCCTCTCTCTCTCCTTCTCCCTCTCCACCCTCCCCACCTCTTCCTGTGCTGCCCGTATCTCTCCAACCAGCCTCTCCTCCCTCTCCTCCGCCTCTCTCCTCTCCCTCTCCCTCGCCTCCCTCACGCCATCCACCTCGCCCTGCAGCCTTGCACACTCCGACTGCGCCATAGAAAGCTCTCTTTCCATTTTCTCCACCCTCGCTTCACCCTCCCTCCTCTCCCTCTCCCTCTCCTCCCCTTCCGTCTCTATCTCCTTTTGCAGCCGATTACTCAACTCCTTCGCTTCCCGCAACTCTTCCCGCAAAGCCCCCTCCCTCTCCTCCCCCTCGCTCACCTCTCGCCTCCTCTCCCCCTTCTCTCTCTCCACCTCCTTCCTCATCCCCTCCTCCCTCTTCTTCCCTTCTCTCCTCTCCTGATCTCTCTCCTCTTTCTCCATTCTCAACAACCCCTCCAACTCACAGCACCTCTCTACTGCACCTTGCACTTCGCTTCTCAACTTCCTTTCCCGTTCCACACCCTCCTCCCTCTCCCTCCCCCTCTCTTCCCTCTCCAACTTCACCTCCCCTTCCAGCCTCCTCACAGTCTCATCCCTCCCATTCAGCTCCTCTGTCATCTCCTCCAACCTCCTCTCTGCCTCCGCACTCTCTCTCTCCCTCGCCTCACGCTCACACCTTACCTCCTCACATGCCCTCCTCTCCATCTCCTCCCACTCACGCATCTCTCTCTCCCCCTTCGCCCTCTCCTCCCTCACCTCCTCCTCCAACCCCCTGCACCTCCCTTCCATCTCGCCTACCCTGCCTCTTAGCACCTCTTCCCTCTCCACCTCCTCCTTCCTCTCCCTCTTCCTCTCCTCCTCCTCTCTCTCCATCTCTCTCCGAAGCACTTCAATCCTTTCCTCTCCCTCCCTCACCCTCTTCCTCAACCCCTCCTCCCTCATCCTCGCTTCGCTTCTCTCGCACTCCCTCTCTCCCCTCTCTTTCTCCATCTGCTCTCTCAACCCCTCCTCTCTCGTCCTCCCTTCCGTCCTCTCCCTTTCCCTCACCTCTCTCTCCTCCACCAGTTCCCCCTCCATCCTCACACACACCTCCCTCACTCCCTTCAACTCTCTCTCCAAAGCCTTCTCTCTCACCTCCCCTTCTTCCTTCTCCTTCCTCCTCTCCTCCCGTTCCACACTCAATTCCCGCCTCACTCTCTCCTCTCTCTCCTCTCCCTCCCTCCTCTCCTTCGCCCTCCCCTCCCTTTCCACCTTCAACTCCCCTTCCATCCGCAGCACCACTCCTTCCAGTTCCACAACCTTCCCTTCCACCTCCTCCACCCTTCCTTCATACTCCTTCCTCTCAGCCGCCCTAATCCCCCGTTCCTGCTCCACTTCCCTTACAAATCCACGAAGCTTTTCCTCAGCCTCCCTCCCCTCCTTCGCTCTCTCCTCCCTCTCCCGCTTCAACTCTCCCTCAAGACGTTCCCCATTGCTGTGAGCTTCCCTCAGTTCTCCCTTCAATATTTGCTGCCTCTCCTCCCACTCCAACCTCTTCCTCTCCCCTTCCTCCCTCTCATTTCTCAACTCCCCCTTTAAACCCTCTTCCCTCCTCTCGAATTCATACCTTTCCCTCTTCCTCTCCTGCTTATCCAAATGCAATTCTCTCTTCAAACCCTCTTCTCTCCTCTCGCCCTCCTCCCTCTCCCTCTGCCTCTCCTGTTTCTCCAACTGCAACTCTCCCTTCAATCCCTCTTCCCTCCTCTCCCCTTCTTCCTTCTCCCTCTGCCTCTCCTGCTTCTCCAACATCAGCTCTCCCTTCAAACCTTCCTCGCTCCTTTCACTTTCTTCTCGCTCTCTCACCCTCTCCGCCTGTTCCCCCTTCAGCTTACTCTCAAGCACCACCTCTCGCTCCTTCCCCTCTCTCCCCTCTCTCATCCTCGCATCCCTCTCCTCTCCCAATTCCCTCACTAACCTCCCTGTCTTCTCCAGTTCACCTTGCAATCTCCCCTTCAACCCCTCCTCCTTTTCTTCCCCCTCTCGCCTCTCCCTCTCCCTCTCTTCCTTCACCACTGTAAGCTCTTCGACAAGTCTACTCCCCTCCTCTCTAACTGTCCTCACTTCCTCCCTCAACCTCCTCTCTCTCTCATCGCCCTCCTTTCTTTCTCTCTCCCTTTCCACCTTCTCCTCTCCCAGCCTCTTTTCCAGCCGAACTCCCCTTTCCAATGCAGCTTCCAACTCCCCCTTCACCTTCATTTCTCTCTCCCCGCCCTCCACCCTCTCTCTCACCCTCTCCACCTTTTCACCCTCGAGCCTTTCACCCAGCGAAACACAGTCGGCCCTAACAGCCTCTAATTCCTCCCTCAACCTCGTCTCCCTCCCCTCGCCCTCCCTGCTCTCCCTCGCCCTCTCTTTCGCCCACTCTTCTCTCTCAGCCTCGACTGCTCTCTCCTGTACAAGCCACTCCTCCTGTGCAGCAGCTAATGCCTCTTGCAACCTCCTCTCTCGCTCTGCCCCTTCACACTTCTCCCTCTCCCTCTCCTCTGCCTCCCTCCTCAGCTCTCCCCTCATACCCTCCTCTCTAGCTTCCGCCTCCGCCTTCTCCCTCGCCCTCTCCTCCCTCTCCAACCTCAACTCCTCTTCTCTCCTCCTCCCTTCCTCTATCTCTCTCTTTATCTCATCCTCCCATGCCTCCTCCCTCTGGACCCCTTCCTTCCTCTCCTGCTCCCACTCCTCCTTCTCGCTTGCTAACACCCCTTCCAGCTCCTCACATCTCTCCTCCAAATCACTCAGAAGTTTCTTAAGCTCCTCCTCCCTTCCCTCCGCGTCTTCCCTCTCCCTCCTCCGCTCCTCCTCCTCCCTCCCTAACTCCTCCTCAAGCCACTCTCGGGCAGCCACAAGCTTCACAACCTCCTCCTTCAAACCGCCTTCTCTCCCCTCTGCATCTTCCCTCTCTTTCTTCCGCTCCTCCCTCTCTCTCCTCCTCTCCTCCCTCTCTTGCCTCAACTCCAAATCCAACCCCTCCGCCTCAGCCAAAGACTGCTGTAGCTGCTGCCTTAGCACTTCTTCTCTACCTTCACCCTCGTCCCTTTCCCTCCGCCTTTCCTCTCTTTCCTTCTCCAACTCCCCCTGAACTTGCAAATTATGCCCCCTAGCTTCCTCCACCTGACCGTGCAACACCTCCTCCCTTGCTGCGCCCTCCCTCCCCTCCCTTGCTCGCCCTTCCCTCTCCCACTTCAGTTCTTCCTCAAGCCTCTCAACATCCTCTCTTGCTTCCCTCAGCTCTCCTCTCAGCCTCCCCTCCCCCTCCTCGCCATCCTTCCTCTCCCTGTTCCTCGCACTCCTCTCGAACTCAAGCTGCTCTTTCAATCCCTCTTCCCTCCTCTCGCCTTCCTCTCTCTCCCTCTGCCTCTCCTGCTTCTCGGTCTGCAATTCTCCCTTCAATCCCTCTTCCCTCCTCTCGCCTTCCTCCCTCTCACTCTGCCTCTCCTGTTTCTCAAATTGCAATTCTCCCTTCAATCCCTCTTCCCTCCTCTCGCCTTCCTCCCTCTCCCTCTGCCTCTCCTGTTTCTCAAATTGCAATTCTCCCTTCAATCCCTCTTCCCTCATCTCGCCTTCCTCTCTCTCCCTCTGCCTCTCCTGTTTCTCAAATTGCAATTCTCCCTTCAATCCCTCTTCCCTCCTCTCGCCTTCCTCCCTCTCCCTCTGCCTCTCCTGTTTCTCAAATTGCAATTCTCCCTTCAATCCCTCTTCCCTCATCTCGCCTTCCTCTCTCTCCCTCTGCCTCTCCTGTTTCTCAAATTGCAATTCTCCCTTCAATCCCTCTTCCCTCATCTCGCCTTCCTCCCTCTCCCTCTGCCTCTCCTGTTTCTCAAATTGCAATTCTCTCTTCAATCCCTCTTCCCTCCTCTCGCCTTCCTCCGTCTCCCTCTGCCTCTCCTGTTTCTCAAATTGCAATTCTCCGTTCAATCCCTCTTCCCTCATCTCGCCTTCTTCCCTCTCCCTCTGCCTCTCCTGTTTCTCAAATTGCAATTCTCCCTTCAATCCCTCTCCCCTCCTCTCGCCTTCCTCTCTCTCCCTCTGCCTCTCCTGTTTCTCAAATTGCAATTCTCCCTTCAATCCCCTTTCCCTCATCTCCCCTTCCTCCCTCTCCCTCTGCCTCTCCTGTTTCTCAATTTGCAGTTCTCCCTTCAATCCCTCTCCCCTCCTCTCGCCTTCCTCCCTCTCCCTCTGCCTCTCCTGTTTCTCGAATTGCAATTCTCCCTTCAATCCCTTTTCCCTCATCTCCCCTTCCTCCCTCTCCTTCTGCCTCTCCTGTTTCTCAAATTGCAATTCTCCCTTCAATCCCTTTTCCCTCATCTCCCCTTCCTCCCTCTCCCTCTGCCTCTCTTGCTTCTCTGTCTGCAATTCTCCCTTCAATCCCTCTTCCCTCATCTCGCCTTCCTCCGTCTCCCTCTGCCTCTCCTGTTTCTCAAATTGCAATTCTCCCTTCAATCCCTCTTCCCTCATCTCGCCTTCTTCCCTCTCCCTCTGCCTCTCCTGTTTCTCAAATTGCAATTCTCCCTTCAATCCCTTTTCCCTCATCTCCCCTTCCTCCCTCTCCCTCTGCCTCTCCTGTTTCTCAAATTGCAATTCTCCCTTCAATCCCTTTTCCCTAATCTCCCCTTCCTCCCTCTCCCTCTGCCTCTCTTGCTTCTCTGTCTGCAATTCTCCCTTCAATCCCTCTTCCCTCATCTCCCCTTCCTCCCTCTCCCTCTGCCTCTCCTGTTTCTCAAATTGCAATTCTCCCTTCAATCCCTTTTCCCTCATCTCCCCTTCCTCCCTCTCCCTCTGCCTCTGTTGCTTCTCGGTCTGCAATTCTCCCTTCAATCCCTCTTCCCTCCTCTCGCCTTCCTCCCTCTCCCTCTGCCTCTCCTGTTTCTCAAATTGCAATTCTCCCTTCAATCCCTCTTCCCTCATCTCCCCTTCCTCCCTCTCCCTCTGCCTCTCCTGCTTCTCACTCTTCAAATCCCCCTCCAGCCTTTCCCAGTTCATTCTCGCCTCCTGCAGCAGACTCTTCAGCGTCTCCTCCCTCTCCATCCCTTCCTCCATCTCTCTCCTCCTCTCCCCCCTCCCTCTCTCAATCTCCACCACCAAAACCCCCACTCTCTTCTCCAACACCCCTACTACACCCTCCACCTTCATCCCTCCAACCCCCTGATCCCCACTCCCCCTCCCTCCTTCACCTCCCCCTTCACCCTCCACCTCTACCCTCCGAGAAATCCCCAACGCCCCTTCCACCCCTCGCCTCAGCACCTCCCGCTCCCTTACAGCCCCCCTCAGTTCCCCTTCCAAACGCTTCCTCTCCACCTCCAACCCTTCCGCCTTCCCCTTCCACGCCTCCCTCTCCCCCGTCAACTTCTCCTCCCTCTCCGCCCCCTCTTTCATCCTTTTCTCCATCAACCTCCCCACTCTCCCCAACTCCCCCTCCAATTCTTTTCTTTCCTTCTCAAGCCCTAGAGTTTTCTCCCTCAGCCTCATCCCCTCTTCCTGCGTGGCCTTTAAATCCCTCTCCACCCCTTCCTTTTCCTCCGTGACTCCTGCAAGCACCCCCCTCACTCGCTCCGTCTCTGCTCGCGCTCGTTGCGTGGCGGTTTTTGCAGCTGCGGCATCGGCAGTAGCGGCGGCTAGATCTGACTGTAACCCAGCAATGTCGCTGCAGGGTGGAAGAGGGGCGGGAGGGATGGAAGCGGGGAGGGAGGCGGATGAGTGGGGGGCAAGAGGAGGATAGAAAGGAAGAGTGGAAGGGCGGAGGAGGATGGATAGAAGCGGCGGGGAAGGGGGATGGAAGGGAATGGAATAAACACGGAAGAGGTGGGGAAACGAGGGGGAGAAGCAAGCAGGGATGAACAGGAAGTACACAGGGAGCCTTGAGACTTCAAGAGTGACAGGAAGAAGAGGAGGAAGAGGTGGTTACATGTAGAGGTGGAAAGGGAAACACAAGTCCTGCACCTCTCATCTGTTTGTTTTCTGAGCGTCCCCTTGGCTGCCTCTACCGTCCCTTGTCCTTTCTCACCTTCTAAGCCCGTCTACAGTGTCATTGAGTGCTGCAATTTCCCTCTCCTTGGCGCCCATCCTCTCCTGTATCTCCTCCATCTCCTTATTCCGCTCCTGCTCGCATGCACCCATGCACCCACGCACCCATGCCGCCATGCACCCATGCACCCATGCACACATCCACACATCCACACACGCACGCATCAAACACGTACACATGCAACCATGCATGCATGCACGCATGCAGACTCATGCATGTCCAATTCACACATGGGGATGCGCACATACACACGCAGATCGTATGCATCAATGCATGCATCCACCCGAGCACGCACACACACAGTTAAGGGTAGAATGGGAGGACGAGATGATGGGATGATCTCGCATGAACATGGAGTGTTTAGCAAAACAATGGCACCGCACAGCATGGCACGGCATGACATAGTAGGGAATGGCATGGCACAGCATGGCATGGCACAGCATGGCATGGCACAGCACGGCATGGCACGGCGTAGCCAGTGGCAAGGCATGGCATGGCAAGGCATGGCATGGCAGGCCATACTGCAAAGAGGGCTTCGGATCGTGTGAGAGCGGCTGTGGCGAGCTTGAGGTTGCGCTCTGCCATCTCCGACTGCCATGGTGGGAGGGAGGGAGCAGAGCGCGAGGCATGGGGGGTGAGCAGGGGGGCATGGGGGATCGAAGAGGAGAAAGCAGGGGAAGTTTCGGATTTAGAGGCGCCTCAAAGGGCGGCTGTGGCGAGCTTGAGGTTGCGCTCTGCCATCTCCGACTGCCGTGGTGCGAGAGAGCAAAGCACAAGGCATGGGGGGGGGGAAGGGCCGAGGTGAGAGGAGATGGGGAGACACCAAACGGACGGCAGGGGAGGGGGAAGTGCAGAACAAGAGGGGGGGAACAGCACAATTATGAATGGAGAGGAGACGAGTGAGTGTGATATGGAGATATGGAGAGGGTCAGGAGAAAGCCAGGAGAACATAACATATCTTATGTGTCACAGGTGGCACATAACTCTTCCCTCAAACCCCACCATCCGTCCCCAATCCCTCCCCTCCTCCTTCGTCCTATCCCTTCCCCCGTCCTTCCCCCCGCCCTTCCCCCCAGCCTTCCCCCGGCCGCCCCCCTGCCCCTGGCAGCGCGCACCCTCTTTTTGAAGGCGTCTAGATCCGCCTTGGGGTCCCTGCCCAGACTCGTGAGCGTCCACTGCCGTTCGGGAAAGGGGGTGAGCGGAAGAGGGGGGAGGATGGGAAGAGAGAGGGGGTGTTACAGTAGGAACATGAGGTAATATGCAGTGGGCTGTGCCCGCCTTGGGGTCTCTGCCCAGACTCGTGAGCGTCCACTGCCGTGGGGGGAAGGGAAAGGGGGAGAGAGGGAGAGGACGCGCGGGGAAAAGAAAGAAAGGTGGGACGAGAGAGGGGGTGTTATGGTAGGCACATTAACGGCTGTTCAATGGGTTGTGTGTGTCCGCCTTGGGGTCTCGTCCCAGACTCGTGAGCGTCCACTGCCGCTGGGGGAGGGGAGAGGGGGAGCTGGAGAGGGGGAGATGGAGAGATGGAGAGGGGAGAGGGGGAGAAGGGAGAGGGGTTGAGGAGGAAAGGTGAGGCGAGTGATGGTGTGTAGCAGTGGGAACATAAGAGATTTTGTAATGGGTTGTGTGGCATGAGCGCATGTGGCATGAGCGCATGTGGCATGAGCGCATGTGGCATGAGCGCATGTGGCATGAGCGCATGTGGCATGAGTGCATGTGGCATGAGTGCATATAGCACAGAGGATGTGGGTGCCATGTGGTGCGTGAAGGGACGCACCTTGGTGGGCTTCAGTTTGAGCGCTTGAGGCACCTGGTGGGAGCAACACGCAGGTGACACATGGGGCAGGCAGCACATGGGGCAGGCAGCACAGGGGGCAAGGTCAGAGAGCATGGGGAGAAAAGCGAGAGCAGGTATGGGAGGAGGGTTCGGGCAGTTTTTGGGGTTATAGGGAGACGAATGGCGAAACGGAATGGGAGTGCACGGGTTAGGGAAGCTGAATGGGATGGGACAAGAAGGTTAAATATGGCAACACATTGCAACACATGGCATGGCATGGCATGGCACGCCCTAAGACGACATGATCCATAATGCCTCCTGGCATTCCCATACCATCCCTCCGCATCCCACTCCACACCATTTTCATCCACCTCCACCACACTACCCAAACAACATCGATCCATGGCCCAGCAACACTCACTCACACACACACACACACTCACACACACACACACACACACACACTCTCTCTCTCTCTCTCTCTCTCACACACACACACACACACACACACACAGATAGCCCCCCCTTCCCATCCCCCGCCCCCCACAAAAGCTCAAGGGTATTTTCCCATCATTCCCCCACCATTCCCTCAGCATACCCCCCAAGTTCCCCGCGTTCCCCTTATCCCCTCATTCGCTCACCAATCCAGTACTATCCACCTTTCCTCCCCCTGGCCCCTTCAGGGGCGATGCTGCTGCTCCCCCTGCCCCTCCCCCCCCCGCTGCATGCGCCGCCCCTGCGCCCTCCTCATCTCCTCCCCCTCCCCCCGCGCCCCTGCTCTTGCTGCTGGCCAGTCGCGTCAAAGGGGGCGGAGTGGGGGCAGGGGACGCGGAGGCATGGGCGGACGGCGCAGGGCCAGAGCAGGCTGCAGCGCTCGCGGGGGGTAGGGATGGGGAGAGGGAGCGGAGACGAGAGGAAGAGTTTATTGGGATGGGCCAAAGTGGAAGGGTTGACTTGAGGGAATGAGTGCAACGGGGGGGGAACACTGGAGTTGCATGGTCAGAAAGATGCTGGTGTGTAGGGTGCGAAGGGAGCGGGGAAGAGTAAGCAGAAGGTCGCAGGAAGAGGTTACTAACAGTGACTGACGGTAACTGATAGTGACTGACGGTAACGGATAGTGACTGACGGTGACTGATAGTGACTGACGGTGACTGATAGTGACTGACGGTGACTGATAGTGACTGACGGTGACTGATAGTGACTGACGGTGACTGATAGTGACTGACGGTGACTGATAGTGACTGACGGTGACTGACAGTGACTGATGGTGACTGATAGTGACTGATGGTGACTGATAGTGACTGATGGTGACTGATAGTGACTGATAGTGACTGATAGTGACTGATAGTGACTGATGGTGACTGATAGTGACTGATGGTGACTGATAGTGACTGATGGTGACTGATGGTGACTGATAGTGACTGATGGTGACTGACAATGACGGACGGTGATTGACCACCCCTCTCTTTCCACACCCCTCTCCCCCACCCCTTCTCTCCACCAACTTTTCTGCCCTCTCCCTTTTTTATTCAGACAGTCCGTGTACAGCTGCAGTGGAGGTGATGAGACTACCCACAAATACACGCCTCAATTTCCCTCTCCCACCACCACTCTCCATCACCATCAGTGTCATCACCACCTCCCATGGCATGCCACTGCCATGTTGAGGCACCTCAGGAATAGACGCCTCATCTAGACGCCTCAGAACCAAACGTTAGATGTCCCCCCACCCTCAGCACGCACCATCACCATCAGTGCCGTCACCACCTCCCATCAATGGCATGGCGCTGCCCTCTTGAGACGTCTCGTCTACCTCGAAAATAGCCACCTCGTCTAGACGTCTCGTTAAAAGACGTCTCAGAAATAGACGCCTCTTTAGTAGACGCCTCACTAATAGACGCCACATTAATAGACACCTCAGAAAAAGATAATTCCCCGCTCACCCACACGCACCATCATCGTCAGTGTCACTCCCACTGCCATCCATCGAGTTTTCCTTTCCGCCTGCCCCCTCCTCCGCCCCTCCCCCTCCCCCTCTCCCTGCTACCGCTACTCCACCCGCCACTGTGATTGCGCCACTATTATCAGTGCGCTCCGGCTGTGCGTTTGGGAGGGGATTAGGCGGGGAGAGAGATGGGGGGAGGACGAGTGGAGATGAGGGAGATTAGGGGGCAGAAATGGGGGAAGGGAATTGGACGGCACAAGGCAGGCAGGGAGACACAAGCGATGGAGTGAAGGAAGGGGAAAAGAAGGAAGTGCGGAGTGAAGAGAGAAGATTGAGAAGAGGTAGAAGAGGGAGAAGAGGGACAAGGGGCGGAGGAGTGAAGAGGAGGAAGTGCGGAGAGAGGAGAGAAGATAAAGTAAGGAGAGAGGAGACGGAGAGGACAGGGGAGATTAGAGAAGAGAGGGAGGAGAGGAGTGGGCCCTAATCGGAAGTCATATGGCCTTCACACCCATTCCACCTCACCATACCTGCTCGTCTGCTACTCCTTTGAAATCCAGCGCCCGTACCACACCAGCTGCTGCTTCCCTAACCCCTCCCCCTCCTCCTCCTCCTCCTCCTTTCTCCCCACTACCACTCCCCTTCTCCTTCTCCTTTTCCTTCTCCTTTTCCCGTTCCCTGTCCCTCTCCCTCTCCCGCTCCCCCCCAAGACCTGACCGGCCGTGCAAGGTGCGCTTTTCAGCAGCAGCAGCAGGGGAGGGACCCGGGGCTCTGGAGTTAGTGGCAGTGCCTGGGGAGAACACGTGGCGTGATGTGACTGGGCGGGTGAGATGGGGCGAGGAAGAACGGGGGGAATGGGGAGAGGTGAGGAGACGAGCAGAGGAGTGGAGGGAGGCGGGGGTGGGGGAGAGGTGAAGGCAGGCGGAAAGGAGTGGATCGGAGTGGAGAGGAGTGGACAGGAGCGGAGAAGAGTAGAAGAGAGAGAAGAATGGGAAGTGCACAAAGAAGGGGAAGAAAGAGCTTGGATTGACATAGAAAAACGTGGAGCACAGTGGGGGCGAGCAGGAAGCGTGTAACATGCAGGGTGGTATCATGCTAGTAATAATACATGGAGGCTCGCAGTAATGGGGCGAATGCAGAGGCCGTAACAGTACATGCCACATGGTAACAGCACATCGCAGAATGGCATGGCAGCAATGGCATGGTATGATGCGTCACCTGCTGTGGAAGCTGTTGACCGTGGTGTGGATGGCGTTCCCCTGGTACAGAACATGCAGGGAAACCGAGAAGCGGAGAGATGGATACATGGAGGGATGGGGAGGTATAGGAACGATAGGTGGAGAGATGAAGAGGTAGTGAGAAGGAGCGAAGGCGAGACGGAGAGATGACGAGAAGAGGAGGAGGAGAGAGAATGAGGGGTCCTAAATGCTGGTGCGCGTGGCATGTGCGGCCGAAGCGTGCCCACCTCCATGCGAGGACATAAGCATGGGAGCGAGAAAGCGAGCATGACAGGATGGTGCGTAGGACATGGGGCATGGGGTATGGAAGCGTGGCATGAACACATCTTAGCAGATGGGCATAGGACACGGGGCATGGGGAAGATGGGAAGCTGGGAAGATGGGAAGCTGGGGCTTGTGTCTCACATGCTGCCAACCACTCACCCTGCTGCCACTGTTGTCCTGGAGTCGGGTGTCCCCCGGGGGGCGGGGATTCTGCTGCTGGGATTGATCGGTGCCATGATGGACGGCTGAGATGCGTGCTTGGTTGGATGGACGACGGTGGATGGATGCGATTGCTGCAGGAAAGCCGGGCGTGGGATGGATGGGATACACAAGTTTATTAATGAGAAGCACGTTGTAGTTCAGATACATACATACATACATACACACACACGCACACACGCATGCACGCACGCACGCACGCACGCACGCACGTGATTTTTGAGAATTCTCAAAAGCCACCTGCAGCAAGGTCATGCATCCAAGCATGCATGCGTCAGGCACACCGTATGCACGCGACATCCCCACACATCCCCCAGGCACGCACACACACACACACACACACACACACACACACACACACACACACACACACACACACACACACACACACACACACACACACACACACACACACACACGTGCGCGCCCGCGCACGCACAAGCACGCAGAGAAGGGCACAAAGTGACGCACCATCTACTATTCACATCACTCGCACCTGCCACCAGCCTAACGGTAACACCGCGCCGCGACTAACACGCACTGATTCGTATAGTCAATGAGTCACCCCAACAACACACCACTACGGCTGTCGCCTTGCGTGCCATGGCCACAACTAGTACATGATTCCCCTCGCGTCACTCGCTCCTCCTCGTTCGTACCTGCCGAGCTGCTCGCTCCATTCACGTAGCTGGACCGTTCCTTTCTCCCCTCCCTCCTCTTCCTCACATCTCTACCCTCCCTCCCTTCCTTCCCCTCCCTCCCATTCCTCGCCTTCTTCCGCTTCTCTTCCTGTCTCACGTTTTGCACTGCCGACGATAGCTTACCCCCTGCCACGTGGCATGCCTGATGGTGCTTCGCGATAAGCATCGCTGCACCCCCCAATCCCCCCACCGCGCCATCTTACCACCCCCCCATGCCTCCATCCTCTCATTCCTCCATTCCCCCATGCCTCCATCCTCTCATTCCTCCATCCCCGCATGCCTCCATCCTCTCATTCCGCCATCCCCGCATGCCTTCATCCTCGCATTCCGCCATCACGCCATGCCGCAGTATCCGCGTTGCTGCATGACAGACATTCCCCACGTAGGTGATAATATTCTACGCCTTTTGCGTCCCCAGAACTTCTACCCTCATTCATGCCTACCCTCCTCCTCTTCCTCCTCCTCCTCCTCCTCCTCCTCCTCCTCCTCCTCCTCCTCCTCCTCCTCCTCCTCCTCCTCCTCCTCCTCCTCCTCCTCCTCCTCCTCCTCCTCCTCCTCCTCCTCCTCCTCCTCCTCCACCACCCCCCTTCCTCCTCCTCCTTCCCCCCTCCTCCTCCTCCCCTCCTCCTCCTCTTCTTCTCCGCCGCTTCCCCAGTCACCCTCACGCGTCGTACGGAACTCAAGCGATGACTACTATTTGTCGCCGCTTACACCGACGACAAACCTGGCGTCGCACGTACAACACGAGCCTCTCACGTCACTAGCTCTCGCCTCCCAACTGGCCAGTCGCCAATGCCTTCTGAGTCAACTCGAAGAAATCACCAGGATATAATAGCTTCTCACCTGGCAATCTGCGCGGTCACATTTCTTCGCCTAGTAGTAGGATCTCGGATAGCAAGTCTGGTCGAAACCACCTCGCGTCGCTCTGATGCGGCGTCGCGCCGGGCCGATGTCCCGCCACGTCAGCTTCGCGGATGGACACGTCCTCTACGAACCGCGTCGAGCGTCGGTCCAGAACACGGTAAAAATGCGTATGAGTT